AAAAAAATGAAGAGTGCCTGCTACACAAGTGGTTAATCTACAGCAGGAACTGTGGATGAGACAAAAGCCATGCAGAGGAAGTGGGCAAACCTGGAAAGAGACAACCACTGCTTTTTGCCTAATGCCCTGAATTATGGTAACTATCAGAAAAATCAGAGTGCTAAACACCAGAAAGGAAAGAGAGGCCTGGCTAATCCCTGGAGAGTAAAACCTCTGATCCTGTGAAAAAGCCTTTTTAATAATTTTAACTCTAATTAATAATTTGTATTAACATAAGGAATAAATTGGAATTTATCTTAGTGTAGCATAAATGAATTGAGGTTTACCAGTGCTCAGCATGAAGTCTCTATATATTTTTATACTGTAAAAATATTACATGAACTGTATTAGAATTGCTTCAATAAGAATGAACTACAATTATCCCATAATAACTCCAGATCCAGGCTGGGATTTAACTCAGTGGCATTGTGCCTGCCTCACAAGCCCAAGGTCCCGAGTTCGTCCTACTAATGAAAGAAAGAGGAAAACACACACACACACACACACACACACACACACACACACAAAACCTCCAGACCCTGCATTGAGGTGAGTGTTCTGAGGCGAGAAGAGCCACTGGTTAATGTTCACTACTCTCCTTGAAAGTGGACAAGCTTCCACAGCTCAGACACCCTTTCTTTATGGTGAGAAACACTGCAACCAAACGATGCTGCTGCTAAAGGGAAGCCATACACAAAATATTTTTAAAATGCAATTTCATAACTGCAACATTATACAAGACAACACCTAAACCGTGGAAAGTAAGAGTCTGAGAACTATTTGGTCCATCCTTTTAAGCAGTCAGAAAGGTGTGCCTTCTGTGGTCTCACCACTACCACTAACTTCTAGGGCTGTAACGATACAATTCCGCTTTGTCTTGCCAAATAATCCCCAGGTCTGAATTTGTGAAACATGAGTCTGCTTTAATTCGGAACTGCTCTCTACTAGGTACCACTGGGCTAAGACAAAATGAGACCCAAAGTATAGCAAGGTAAATTAATTATTCCAAAACATATGACTATCATATTTTAGCTAACATACATACAGATAAACTAAAGCATTTAATCCAGCGCACTAATTCTTGGATGGAGCATTTCCATGTTTCATACAATCATCTTGAAAGGGAGAGACACAGGTTCCCACAATAAGCATTTGCAAGGCATCTGTGACAATACCACTCTCAACAGGGAAAAGGAGGAAGGCAGTTGAATAGTGAAATGCAAATTTCCCCCCACATCTGGCATCTGTAATTTACCCCATACCACCTGGTCCTGACCTGCCTTTTCCTGTGAGTGATGACTACTTAGAATACCAACACCTAGCAAATTCTCAGAGATCTAGTAAGTGAATAAAGCCAAGGCTAATTATGGGGACCAAATATTTTCCTATTTATGTAGAAGCTGGACTTTTGATTGTTTTTCTCTTTGAAAGACAAATGAAAGGAACCTCTGCATGGCACAGCTGGCTGCCCCTTGTTCAGCAGGGGAGAGGTGCCCAGACTGTGGCATTCAACATTTACCAAGGGTGACATTCAGACGGTCAGCTGCTGACACACATGCAGCAAATCATAGGAGCGATCTACCTGAGCAGAGACGGTACTGATGGAGAAGGGGCCACTCAGAGACGGCAGACAGGTGAACCTCACAGCCCTCAACCTATCACAGTACCATTTAACATGGCAGGGAAGCATTTAGTTTTTAAGATATTCCAATCAAAAAGAGTTTCTGGGCCAGGGATTTAGCTCAGTGGTTCTGGCGCCTCCTTGTAAGCATAAGGATCTGAGTTTGATGACCAGTACCAAAAAAACAATAAATAATAAAATAAAGGTTTCTGAGTTGTTTTTCACTTTGGCATTTGAGAGGATAAATAAATAACCACGTTCCCCAACTGCATTCATTATTTGCTGCAATGAAACTGGCAGAGCACTGTCTGGGTTACAGAGTTGGAGTTGCTAAACTACTAAAAGTACTACCCAGGCTTCCCTTTAAGAAAATGTAATTTTTGGGATACACCTGGCCTCAGGTCCATAATTACTCAATTAGCTATCTTCTTTAAATTCCCCCATCCCAGTGGTCTCGGGCTTGAGACCCTTTCCTGGAATCTCCTGTATGGCAAGTGCAGACAGGGATAATGACAACTTCTTGGCACTTTAGAAGAGTAGAGTTGGATGGAAAACCTGTCTGACAGGGAAGCTTTATTTAAAAGAAAAAGGAGAGACACAAAGAGCAACACATTTGTGCTCCACCCTGATCCCTCAGACCCCAGCTGCCCTGAGCTAAAAAATGAATCACTTCAGGGGGTGAACCATGGCCAAGAAGCACTGGGGGTCCTCTACTCCAGGCAGAAAAATCCTGAACTCCAGCAGTTTACATGTCCAAAAAACCATGGCAGAGAAGACACCAAACTACTCCTTCATCTCCAGGAAGGGGACTGCCCCCACAGGCATGATTTGTGTTTTCATTTATGGAATGTCTAAAAGATAACAAAACTAGACAAGGAACCAGAAATCCAAGATCCTGGACCTGCTTCGCATTACCTAGCTGTGTAATCTTGAACAAATCACCCTCTTTGGGACTCTCTTCTACATAGATAGTAAAGTAAGCATTGGAACCAATGATTTCTAAAGGTCCATCTAGTTCCATCATTCAATGACTTTGGTGACACAGAGACCATTACAAGAACAAAGAACAAACAAAATCATGGGCCTTTAACCTGTTATTCATCAAATGCATGATTTGTGTTCTCTTCTGAGGCAGTTAGGGACTTAAAATTGGTTTGTGCTAAAAATTGTGACTTCATTTAGGCCTCCAATGCCCAATATGCAACTAAAAGTAGGACCAATACTTGACATTCATTTTGTGAAACTCTGGATCAGATTCTTTTTAGTTCTGCATATAGGCAAGTTAGTCATTTAAGGAGTGTCCAAAAGATGGCAGAACAAGGTTTATCAGCCCAAAATCTACCTTGCCTATCTCACAACCCTTCAGAATGGAGGAAATGAGAATAAGATTTACAGGGACATTCAGCTATTCAGAAATCTCCACTATCTTAAACCTACCTCATTTTGGATCCCAGCAGAGCCTCACATGACTGAGACTCCCTTTCAAGACATGAGGATTCTTCCCATGGGAACCAAATTTTCCCCTCAAGTCATAAGGATTCAACCTGAGCTACAAACCCAGGACTGAGATAACTGGACCCTGGCCCACCTCAGCTAGTCCTTACATACTGGCACCCTGTTTTTGTGGATGGGCCAGTCTGAACCCCTATATCGGAGTGTGCCCCCTCCAGATACTCAAGCTGGAGCCTTTTCCTATTTGTTCTTACTCTTCTTGTTAGGGGACTATCTTCATCTTTGCCGGAGCTGTATTTCCCTTTATTTTCTCTTTCAATTAAAGATTTCCCTATGAATCCATCCTTTAAATTTCCAGTATAATAAGAGTAAGTGACACTGGGTCCCCCCCAAAAGTAGAAATACTGCTTCCCATTTGCACTCCAGCTACCTCACTGTAGACTGGAGGTTCAAATGTCAATAACGGGCACCTCCTTTGCCCAGTCCACACCCAGGCCCCCTTCTCCTGCACCAGAGTTCGATGGCCTTGGAAGGTGCAGAACAGGGCAACTCTGCATTAGCAAAGGGCAGCCCTGTGCTGCTAAGCACAGGGAGAAATATCTACCAAGAGTCAGCAGGGACACAAAGTATCCATGTGTGTAACGGACTGACGTGGTAATAATGTAACTGTTAAATAAAACATACCCACCACAACTGTCTTCTATACCAAGCTCCCACCAACACTGCTGCAATCTACATTAAAACTGACTAAAGTATAAGCATGGTATCTAAATAAATAAATGCTATTTAATTGTATCAAAGATCTTTGATAGATGGAGTGAAGGACACAACATGTCAAAAGCTGAGAATCTTCACTGTCGTTAAATACACTCGTGAGACAAGCCCATGGCCAGGGTGTTCTAACAGTGAGAGGCTAGAGGACTACAGGAGCTGCACGTCACTCAGTCACCATCTTCCAGTGTGGAGGGGGATGGTGCCCCAGGGTGTAGGGAGCTGCAGCTCTCTCCCATGCAATGTAGGGGACTGATGCAAAGGCACAAGACCAAAGGGCAAGAGACTTCAGGGATGGAACCAGCCAACCTTCAGGCCTGCTAGTCAGGCTGAACACTCCTATGGTATCGAACCTGGGAGAGGTGCCTTTGCTGGGGCTCCTTGTCAGAATCTGCAATTTGCTGTCTTTCTCTTTCCTCATCAGGCTACTTTGGCTAACCTTTGATTTGTAGATAAAGACTTTGTTCTCTAAACAAGAATTTTTTTTAGACAATTAGGCAAAGACAGCATGAGACACAGCATCCCCCTTAACAGTGCTTAATCTGTTGACCTGGGAGGTCCCACTGATTAGAGCACATTGAGCAACGTAGCATGCTGGTCTCTCCAGCCTGGGAAGCTGCAACCCTTATGGGAATTAGTGTGGAAGGCAAGGTAGAGCCAGAGGTTCATTTTAAAATGAGCAAGCCAGGCCCTAAGATAGCACAGGACTCTGGAAAACTAAATGACCACCATACCATATGGATCCCATTCCACAGATAGCTTCAGGCTGAGCTTCCTAGAATGCCTACCTTTTTCTTCTTTGTGGTCTGGGGATGGAACCCAGGGCCTTTGCACCTCAGCCACATTCCAAGTCCTTTTTATTTTGAGAGCGGGCCTTGCTGAGTTGCCTGGATTGGGCTTAAACTTGTTTGTCTCAGTTTCCCAGAGTGCTGGGATTACACAAATACACCATCATCATGTCTGGCTTATGCCTGCATCCCTTCTAACACATTGACTGGCAATGTTGCCAGCAATGGCTCCCAACTGTCCTTGGGCTCACCTTAGCTGACCATTCCTAGAAAATCCTACCCCCGTCCTTTCTTCCTGGCTCTAAGGCACTATATAGAATATGTCTCCCTTCTAAAGCAGACCCTCCTTCCTTTCCAGCACCAAGACTAGTAGCTAGCATTTCCTACAGAGATGGCACAGTGTTATTATTGTACTGAAAACGACCTGAAGATAGACAAGACTTGGATGGAGTCCAAAGTCACTTGCATACCCATGCTGTGTGACAATGGACAAGTGACTTCACTTCTGAGCTTTTTCCAGCAGTACTGGGGACATTCTCACCCTTCACCCTGACTCAAAGTTTTAATACAACAAAAAATTACTTTTTGCTATACTCTAAACACTAAACAGATTTGCTTCAAGACTAAAGCATGTTACTTTTGGGTGAGAAATGGAATAGTTTCATACCACTTTCCCTGAATCTTGCAGAGATGGCACTTGAGGAATACAGAAGACTAGGTTTTCTCTGGATTTACCTGCAGCACCCGCTGTAAGGTCAATGGCAGCTTGGATGGCAGGATTAGACTTCATGGTGCTGCTGGGTTCCGTAAAAGGTGACTCTCTGGATCTTAGGATGAGCACTGCATATCCCTGGAGAAGGCAAGAGTTCACCATTAGACAGGCCTCTGCAAGTTACTGAACCTGAACTTCTGGGTTCTGGGAAATGGGCTCTACCTTGCTCCTATGGAATGAGGCTCGGGGGTTCCTAAGTGATTGGTGACCCTGTTAAAAACCTTATACATCAAAAACCTCCTCTAAATATCACACTACACGCCCTAGCATCACTTCAACCAACCTTACTGACAAGCTTCAAGCTTCAAATTTCAGTACCAAATAAAGAAACCAACCTCAGACATCCTCAGCCATACCAGACTAACTTTCCAAAGACCTAAGATGAAAATTCACTCTACTAGGCTTTGTTCTGAGTTTAGACAGCATCCTGAGCTGGGTGCACAAGAGGCAAGAGGAGGCATAGAAGCTCAAGTCAGGAGCTCTACTAAGTCACATGTACCTGGATGCAAATGTCTGCTCCACCAGCAAGGTGGTTCCTTGGGCCCCTACAGCTGGGGGTTCTCATGTGTACAAGGTAAATAAAAATATGATGCAAAGGCAATTACAAATCTGAGTGTGGTGACACACATCTGTGATCCCAGCACTTGGGAGACTGAGGCAGGAGCACTGCAAGTTCAAGGACAGCCTGGGCTAGCATGAGACCCTGTCACAAACACACACACACACCTGAGCGAACCACAAACAGTGAGCATGTATCACCTGTTCTCAGAACCAGGCCCAGCACAGAGCACCAACTGCCTCCTTTTCACCATTATCCACTCCAGGTTTTTCAACGATTAACATGTAGAAGATTCACTTGAAGTCTTGTGAAAATGCAGATAGAGTACTGATTAGGTAGACTGCAGCTCAGACGAGAAATTCTGTGGTTGTGACAGAGGCTAAGGCCCACCCACCAACTGCACTGTGAGATGCAACACCTGGGCTACTGAGTCCTAAATTTGCTTTAAAAGAATCTACCTGAAGCACTTCTTAAATATTCAAATTACCAGGCCTCTCTCCAGATCCTGATTCAGTACCTTTGGGTTGGAGGCTGGAAAGTTTGGGAAAAAGGAGTCTACTCCTCTAAACAAAAATCAACTGTTGCTGAGATACAGACTTAAATACTAACTAGGGTGAAGAAAAAAAGTGGCTCCTTTAGATAGGTTAAATGACCAAGTCAGCAACCAGTTTCCCTAGAGTTTCAAACTATGATTTATTTGTGAATAACGAGAAAAGTTTTCCTTCTTTGTCCTACTGAGGAGGCTGATGGGCTGGGCCAGATAAAGATCAAGGTCCATTTGAACACGAGCGTTACTCCATACAGGTCAGCAGAAAATAATGGTGGCCACCAAAAAGTTTCTTAACCACTTGAAACATTTTGTCAATAATCTTTTCTTCCTTTTTTTAAGACTCTTTCTTAAATAAGAACCAAGGTATATCATGTACAGATACAAATTCCCTATGATGAATGTGATCGTTATGTATACCTAAAATGTACCAATAAACTTAATAAAAAAATCTTCCTTTCCTTACAAAAAAAGAAAAAAAAGGTAAAACTAATACCAGCAACAAAAACACAGCAGCAAAGTCTGAAGTACAAGATCATAATTTTATTTATTGATTGACCTAGAGAGTGTTATTACTAGGCTAAGGGTTATTTCTTATTAGAAAAGGTTACTAGGGCCGGGGATTTAGCTCAGTGATGCTGCACCTGTCTCGAGAGAACAAGGTCCTGAGTTCCAATCCCAGTACCAAAAGGAAAAAAAGTTACTAGGGTCCTCATCCGTTGTCCTTTTCCAGAAAGGAAAGTGAAGTGAGAGGAAGACAAGGTCTTCTCCAAGGTCACAGAATAGTAGCAGAGAGATTATTCAACTCAAAAGTCGTTTCTTTCAGATCTATGCCCATAAACCAGAGTATTCCAACTTGGTCATTTAAAAAAAAAAAGACAAAAAAATCCCCACTCAGTTCTGCGTTTTTTTGGAGGAAAAAAAAGTGTACTGGGAAGCCCTCAGACAGGGCACATCCCAAGTGGGCTCTCAACTAAAACTCAACCTGTCCGTGTTCTTTGATGTGGATGGACACTTCTTTCTAACTTAGAAGGGAAGGACAGCACAGACACTATTTCCTCTGTGTGAGCTCATCTTTACAAGAGGCTGAAGGGTTTTACTTAAACCAAATCTAAACACATCAAACCCTGCATATTACTTGTAGAATTACAAATAGCTACGTGTAATGGGGACTAACCGATGAATACATAAGATGTGCCCAATTCAGATTATGCATGGCTATGGCTTGCAGAAGACACAGGGCTTCGAAGAAGCAAGAGTGGTCAGCATGAATTAAAACCGACTTCTAAGCTCGATGTACCGCTCGGAAAGGACACGCGGAGTCCTTCCAGCATCCAGAGCCTCTCTCCCAAACCACACCAGGGTCCCACTAGGCAGACAGAGACAACAGCGCCAACCACACTTCGTTCTCGTTCCTTTGGGAAAACTGATTTCTCAAATGGACGAAGGGGACGAGGCTGCGTTTTCCACCCGGGGAAGGCGAGCTGCCGCGGGAGGCTCCAGCCCGGCCGCC